TATTGTAAATTTACTTTCTCCTTCGTAAATACTATATATATTTTTTGAGACAAGGTCTTGCTCTGTTACCCAGACTCATGCAGCCTCAATCTCCTGGGCTCAGTGATCCTCCCACCTCAGCCTCGTGAGTGCTGGGACTATAGGCGTGTGCCACCATACCCAGCCAATTTTTGTATTGTTTGTATAGACAGGGTTTCACCATGTTGCCCAGGTTGGCCTTGAGCTCCTGGGCTCAAGTGATCTGCCCACCTCAGCCTCCCAGAATTCTGGAATTATAGGCATGAGACACTGTACCCAGTCCCATAAATATTATTTTTAATGGAAAAAGCTAGTGAAGATGTAAGACAGTCAATCAAATAATTGAAGTAATCCTCCCTTCTCAAATCCAAAGTTTTTGTTTGCTATTTTTAGATTGAATTAATCTGTGAATAAATATTGTCAGTTGTCTCTTTCAGTACCACCTTTGTGCTCATTTCTTTATTAATGAATTGGAACCATAAAAATACAGAGTTTTTAAATAACATTTTATTTTCTGATGACAGAAATAATACTTATACTGTGTTAAAAACTTGGAAAATAAAAACTCAAAGAACCAGCCTGGGCAATACAATGAGACCTCTCGTCTCTACAAAAAAATTTAAAAATTAGCTGAGCGTGGTGGCACACGCCTGTAATCCCAGCTACTCAGGAGGCCGAGGTGGGGGAATCTCTTGAGCCTGGAAGATGGAAGATGGAAGTTGTAGTGAGCCGAGACTGCACCACTGCACTCCAGCTTGGGTGGCAGAGCGAGACCTTATCTCAAAAAAAGAAAAAACTCAAGGAAAAAACTATTCAAAATTTTACCACCTAGAGAGAACAACTGTTAACATTCTTTTAAACTCTCAGTCTTTTGTTCTGCATAAATTTCAGGTTTTAAGAATGATTTTTCTTTCTCTCCCAGTCATGGCACAGATTGAAAAACAAGAGAGATTTGAACAGTATACTACCTGTAAGAGCTGCTGTCCTGAAAAGATAACTGGCCTCTGTTTCTTAATAAATTCTTCCAAGAAATAAAGAACAATAGTTTCATCATAATACATTATGTTTACCTCCATCATAATTGCTTTTTTCATAGTTCTTGTTTTCATTTTTTATTTTTAAAAAGACATATAAAGATTGCATATTTTATTATGACATTTCCTAATAAAACCCTTTGATTTAAAAATAAAAATGTATTTTTGAAAATGTTTACATTGATGATTAGTAATATTATGGCATGCGTTTTCAGGTGATCAGATAAAATATATTTTGCGAAATTACCTGAACAAATAAAAAGTTTTTGATACAACTTCAATTAATTGTAACACATGCTAATCCTGAAGAGATGTGTGGAATTTTGGAAGGGGTCTAATTCATACATGCTTAAAGTCTAACCTACATTAGATAGTTTGTTGTCAAAGTCTGTTCTAGTAAAGTGAAGATTCAAGTCAGTTGTTCAGTTACTTGAAGCAAAACGAAATCATTTCAGTCACATCACTGCAGAGTCATGAAATACTGAACAATTGCCTTAAGTCTTTGCTTTGCTTGACTCACTGGGATAGACTGAGGCTTTGGGTGTGTCTGTATTAGCATTTCATTAGTACTTCACATGCTTTTGATGTACTCTTGAGATTGCTTTAAATTTTGTATTGAAACAACAATACATTTTGCACTGTAGTAATAGGAGCACTAACTCTTAAAACAGTTAGTGAATTGTTTTAAAGAATCAGTTCAGTGTAGACATTTTGCAAAGATTGTTTCCTGTGCTTTATGATAGCTTAGTACAATGTGCACTTCTGCTTTACTTGCCGTTTTCCTGCTCTATTTTCTCTGTGACATGAAGCAACAGAAACTGAGAGATCAAAGTTAAGATTATATCCTGTTTGTAGTATCAGATATTTTTCTGTGTACAATTATAGGATTGTAATCTAAACTGGAATTTTTAGACAGTAAGCCACTACAAAATGTTTTAGATATGACACAATAAAATTATTATAAATAAAAGCTTAATATTTGTAAAAAATCTCTTTTTTAGTATTTCTTTTTTTACATGAAAGAAGTAGTGGTGGCTGCTAAACAAAAAAAGCTACAGTGTTTATTAAGGTTGTTTTTGATTTATGTAAATATTTGTAAATTGGTCAGTGCCTGTAAATTTAAATATAAAAAGTAATCTTGAAAACAGTTTTAACTTTTTCAAAAGGACTATGTCCAACATTTTTTAGACCTGCTGTAGTACAGTTTGTACCTCTAACGTATTTTTTTTTCGCAGACCAAATGCTAAAACTTTTGCTTTTCTTTGACTTGTAAAAGGTGCACATTTTCATTTTCTTCTTTAAGTTCAAATTTTTGTACGTCAAATGCAATAAAATTTATATATGGACATTGTCGAGGTGGTTTTTTTTTTCTGTGAAAGTCTTTGCTTTTGAGATGAGACTGAGGCTGTAGTTATCATCTAGAACTGAACTAAATCTACTTATTAGCCAGCTAACCACATCAATATCTTATGTCTCTGGCATTATGAGGAATGAAAGTTTACACATAGTGTTTTAGATTCCTGATGTGTAACACTTTTTATGCATTTGAGCTTTTCATATTTTGGCGGGCGGGAATTTTTCCTAAAATTTACATTGTGCATCTCTTAATGAGAACGTACTGAGTAGAGTTAATATTCTAGTGATGACTGGGTAATCATTATAAGCATTAGTCTTAGTACTATTCATTAATACTGTGCAACTTTCAGGGATGGGTAAGTATGTACCCTCTGCCTCTACAGTATTATGACATTTCCTAATAAAACCCCAGAATTTACCATGTTGTGGACTCCCTCACTGTCACTATTTTCTCAGTTTTCAATGGCCCCACCCTTACTGCTGCTGCTTTTCACTTGTTTTACTATGAAAAACAGATCAAGAAGTCACTAAACCTAGACTCAATTCTAAATCAGTAGACTGAGGCCTAAAATTATGCACATGTGACTGGCCAAATATGTCAGATAAGTGAACTGTTAATATATGAGAGAATTTTCTAGACTTTTAAGTTATTGATCTCAATTATTTGTTTGATGAGTACTAAATTATTTTCTGTTTGTGCTGATCTGTCCATTCCTGTACGTAGTTGTCCCTCAGTATATTGAGGGATTGGTTCCAGGCCACCCCCATCCTCTTCAGATACCAAAATCCACAGATGCTCAAGTCCCTTATAAAAAATGATATAATTTGCATATATCCTACACACATTGTCCTGTATACTTTAAATCATCTCTAAATTACCTGATACCGAATACAATGTAAATGCTATGTAAATAGTTGTTATACTGTATTGTTTAGGGAATAATAATGACAAGAAAAAAAAGTCTATGCCTGTTTAGTACAGATGCAACCATTCTTCCTCCCTCTCCTACCCCCCACCCCAAATATTTTTCATCCTTGGTTGAATTCACAAATCCTATATGGACACGGAGGGCTGACTGTATTTGCATATGTTGTTAAAGTGGTGTTTAAAATGTGCAATCTGTACTACAATTCTAAATTTTGGATTGATTTGAACTAGGATCTTTGCAAATAAATCTCATAGACATTAATGTTTGTAAGAAATTTTTAATTAAATGATGGAAGGAACATAGAATGGCTACCTGTGGTTTTGATTAGTGTGTAACAGATTCCCACAGCTGCGATTGAATTCCTTTTGTCCTGGATGAGCATGGTCATTTGGGATTACTGATAGTAAAGTCTAGTTGGTGTTAAGAGAATAAATATTGCTGATGCTAAATCTGGTTTAGTGAACTGTGGGTCTTGACTCTGCTGTTTTCCCTCCTTATGTCCCACTAGCTGATGTATCTGTACTGTAATTCAAAGATTTACAGTTCATTAGCTACAGACATATGCATAGCAACTAGTGTAACTAGTGAATAATCCCCAGCTTACAGTCACATTTAACAACTCTGTGACTTGCTATAATTAAAAATAAATGTTAACTTCTAGCCATCAAATCATTCTCATAAAATGGGTATCTTTATTGTAAAGATACCTCAATTTGTACAGTCAGCAGGTCTGGTTCTGTTCTCTTCAGGGAGCATCCATTATGTGTACCTGCTGTGTGCTAGCTACTTTGCTAGTGTGTAGGCTTGTAAGGGATGGGAATGGTGGGACAAAGATGAGTAGTAAACTTACAAAGTCTGCTGGGGAAGGAGATACAAACATAATCTGTATAGGATTATGTGGGAACCTGGAAGAGAGGTACAGAGTTTAACTTTGGGATTTCAGAGAAAGGTGGTATCTTGAATGATTGGTATCCTGGTAAAAATGGGATGAACCTTTGAGGCAGAAGGAATTGTGTAAATAAAGACACAGTGGAGTGACTTGACAATGTTTAGAAGTCTCCTGACTTCTAAAGAGAGCTGACCAGCTGGGCGCGGGGGCTCACACTTGTAATTCCAGCACTTTGGGAGGCTGAGGTTGGCGGATCACCTGAGGTCAGGAGTTCGAGACTAGGCTAGCCAACATGGTAAAACCCCGTCTCTACTAAAAATACAAAAATTAGCCAGGCATGGTGGTGGGTTCCTGTTATCCCATCTACTGGGAGGCTGAGGCAGGAGAATCGCTTGAACTCAGGAGGTGGAAGTTGCACCGAGCCGAGATCGCGCCATCGCACTCCAGCCTGGGAGACAAGAGCAAGATTGCGTCTCAAAAAATAAAAAAATAAAAATAAAAAACAGTGGACAGGTAAAACATGGCCAGTTAGGCAACCGTTGCCTTTGTGAGGATGTTGGGGTTCAGGCTTTGAGCAGTGGGAAGCCATTGAGGGGTTTTAACCACAACTTGATCCGGGGTAAAGGTTTGGGGCCTTTGGGCCAGTTTCAGACAAAACTTAGCTTTTTGCTAACGTGGGGGAAATTGCTCCTCCTCAAGGTTTAAGATGAGTGGAGATGAAGTTTCCTGGCTCAATAACGGGGACCACTGAGCAAGAAAATATACAGTATATTGACTTGCGATATAAAGGGAGCCGGGACGGAACAATGGTTCAAAACTGGGCTTTTGAGCAGGGCAGCTTTGTTTCTCATTGGGTCACTTTACTAGCAATGAGAGCCTGAGCTGCTGGAGCTCTTCGGAGCCTCAGTTTCCTCATCTGGGAAACCAGCACTACAGTAAAACCTTCTACAGGTACCACCGCAGAATCGAGGTAATGAAAGCGAGACTCTCAGCAGAGTGCCCGGTAGTTAAGTGCCCCGCTCAGGATGTAGTTATTGTTTGGGATAAAGGGTCCAAAAGTAGTTCAAAACCGAAAAGACTCACTCTGGAGGAAATAGAGACGGGGCTAGGTTGTCTTTCCTCCTTTGAACCCCCTGGTGCAGCCGGAGCCCGCGCCCCTTAAAATGATCTCCAGTTGTCCGAAAGGCCCTCCAAGGATCTGGCGAAACGGGGGCGGGGGAGGGCTCGGGGAAGAAGAGAAGCTGAGCCCGGGCCCCAGAAGCCTGGTGGCGAAACTTTGACGCCTTCTATTTAAAGTCGCGGGGCTCGCCCGCCCCCGGCGCCTGGAACCCGAGCCGCCCCCGCAGGGGCAGGGCTGGGAGGGCAGGGGCCAGAGCAGTCGGAGGGAGAACACCAGGCGCGGCGCGGGCGGCTCCGGCTCCGACTCCGGCCCCGGCCCGGGAGAGGCGATGGCGAGCCGCGATAGCAACCACGCTGGCGAGAGCTTTCTCGGCTCCGACGGGGACGAGGAGGCGACCCGGGAGCTGGAGACAGAGGAGGAGTCGGAGGGCGAGGAGGACGAGACGGCGGCGGAGTCGGAGGAGGAGCCGGACGCCAGGTAGCGCGAGCCTCTCTCCTCGGCCCAGGGCCTGCAGGGCAGCTAGCAGCTCCCTTGCTTGTTTGCTTTAAGTTTTTAAGCTCTGGGGTTCGTTTCCGTCGAGCTAGGCACTTACTCTCTGGGTGCACTGCCGTTTAAAAGAACTTGAAGGTGAAGGTGCTCGCTGTCAGCTGGAGTGACAGGCCCGCCTGCAGCAGAGTTCATTACCCCCGCCCCCAGCTCCTTGTGACTCGCTGCTCTTGTTTATTCCTGAGGATTTACTTAGGTCCTGCCTAACTGCCGAAATGTGCTGGAACGCGTACATCTGGCCCAAGGCACAGGAACAATCGCTAAATCCTGAGCTAGAGAAGGGGGTGGGGTGGAGGCGGTGAAGGCGCCCTGGTACCTTCAGATGAATGGCGGTCTCCCCGGCGGCCTAGCACTGGACTAGGCTGCAATAAAGTGACCTTATTTTGATACAAAGGCCCATACATTCTTTGGGGGAAAAGAAGCATGAGTTTCAGTAATCCCTGTTCTTCAAGTCCTGCTTCTTTTTTCCTGGTCCCAAGTATCAGTTTCCGTGAATGTGATGAAGTAATACTATGTAAAAAAGATGCGCCTCCCACCCTTCGATCTCCCCCACTCCGTCCCTTTCTTTAAGAAGGCCCTAAAATGAGAATAATAGAGATCATCTAATCTCTATTTGGATTTGCTTCTACCTTCACTGGTTCTCCTTGAGTATGTGTTTTGGGTTTTTTCCCTGACTCTGCGTCAGTCAGTGATGTCTCTTCTTCAGTCTGTTGGTAACAGTGGAAAGGTTTTGAAGGTGGCAGGTGGGTGTGTACCATCTGAGAAAGCCCAGCTTACCTAATCAAAGCCAGCAAAGCCGATGTTGAAGAAGTAGCCCATAGAGTGGCATTGGGGAGGATGGACGGTCAGGCAAGAAGTCCTGAATGCATGTCACATGTTTACCAAGCAACTACCAAGTGGGAAGCAAGCACAGTCCCTGGCCTCAAGGACTTTGTGGAAAAAGTTCCCCTAACTTTTTCCCCTATGGGGAAACGTTTCCCTAACATGGGGAGTGGGAGGCTATATAGAGGTGGAGGGAAGGACGGTGGGTACTGTGCAAGGGCAGAAGAGGGAGTGTTGGGCTGGAGCTGCCTTGAAGTAGTGGGCAGGGACTACAAACAGGAAGAGCAGAGGAGAAGGCACCAGTAGCGAGTGGATCAGGGAGCAGGGGACCTGTGATCCCTTGGCAGTGTTGAGAAGGGGAAGTCTGTCAACCCCAGCTTTTATAACCTTTCCCTTAGTGTTGTCTGGGATCCTCATATCCTTGCCCAACCACATTTACAACCAAGAGAATCTGAAAACTCATTTACACTAAAATGTGAGCAGCTGACAATTCACCACTTTGGGGTTGTATTGCCATTTGACAAAGGTCAAGGCCTTCAGAAAAGGATGTGATTTGTCTGCAGTAAACTTCAGCCTGCTCTGACTACAGACAGTAAGGTGGACACCAGGTAAAGAGGTCAGAATAAATAGAGTGGAGGGAAACATGAGGGAATATGGAAAATGGAGGCCTGGAGAAAGCATCCAATTTATTTTTTATTAGATGACAAGGGTAACAGGAAGTCAGCAAAACTTCTGGATTTAGGAAAAGCACATGTTGACAAAAAAGCGTCAAACTGTAAAATATTTGAAGAGATTGATTCTGAGTCAACTATGAGTGACCAGTGGCCTGTGACACAGCCTGCAGGATATCCTGAGAACATGTGGCCAGGTGGTTGAGGGACAGCTTAATTTTACACATTTTAGGGAGACATGGGACCTCAATCAAATACATGTAAGATGTACATTGGTTTGGTCCAGAAAGGTGGGAAAACTGAAGGGAGTGGGGACTTCTAGATTATAGGTAGGTTTAAGTTTTTTCTGATTGGCAATTGGTTGAAAGAGTTAAGTTATTCTCTTAAGACTTGGAATCAGTGGAAAGAAATGTCTGGGTTATGATAAGGGGATGTTGGGACCAAAGTTTTGTCATGCAGATGAAGCCTCCAGGCTTGAGAGAGAATAGATTGTAAATGTTTCTTATCAGACTGAAAGAGTTGTTCTATCAGTAATTCCAAAAGGGAGGGGGATGTAGTGAGGCATGTTCCATCTCCCCACCCATCATGGCCTGAGTGAGTTTTTCAGGTTAGCTTTGGAATGCCCTTGCTGAAAGGAGGGGTCCGTTCAGACGGTCAGGGGGCTTAGAATTTTATTTTTGGTTTACAAATCTTTATTTTTAAAAATTCAAAAGGCACAAAGTAATCTGTAAACTTTCCTTTACCCTTTCAGGTATGATATATAATTATCTACAGTAATCTTTCTGAATTGAGGAAAAATTCCCTTTAATTATAAAATGCTTTTGTCGTGCAGGAAAGCTCATCATTTACATACACCAACATATATATTGGATCAGAGAACTATCCTGATATATCATCCAGTGATATGAATGTGACATATAGCATCAAGAGGCCTGATTGTGAATCCTATTAGTTGTTCCATAATGGGCAAATTCTGTCCTCTTTGAGCCCAATTTTCTCATCTGTAAAATAATATGAATTCCTAATTCATCAGGTTGTCGTAAGGGTTGCATAAATTATGTGAATGTGTGGAGGAGTGCTTGGTTCTTAGTAGCTTCCCATTAAGCTTTAGTTTCTTTTATTCCATCAGATGAGTCATTATTAGCAGGGAGGCTCTACCTTCTGCCCACTGTTCATCCATGAAGGGAGAGATGGTCTCAGCTTTCAGTATAAATAATGATCCTATTTCACTTTGTATTTATTCATTCACTAAACATTCATGGAGTGCCTACTATTAGTATTTGCCATAGACAATGCAAAGTGCTGGGGATACAAAAATAACTAAGAATCCATTACCATCCTCATGTTTACATTCTAGTTGGGGAAACAGAAAAACATAATTATGTCGTTAGCTGTTAGAAGAGATTTAAGGAAGAAAAGGTGTGTATGAGGCACCTCAAAGTCTTGGGATCCATACTACCTGGAAGGGTTGGAGAAGGCTTCATCATTGCAGCGGTGTTTTGAATCATAATAAAGTGCCTCACAGTGCTTGTAGTTTGTGGATATCAAAAAAGATTTTTGTGTTTCTAAAACCTCACCAGACAACTTTTGTGAAAGGCAGATTATAAAACCCACAGGATTTTAGAGCTGGCAGAGGCTTTAGAAGTATCTGTTCCCAACCGGTCTGACTTTAGATTCAGAAACTGAGTGTCAGGAGTCGTTTGTTCAAAGTCACACCTTTTTTTTTTTTTTTTTTTTTTTTTTTGAGGCAGGGTCTCACTCTCATTGTCCAGACTGGAGTGCAGTGGCATGATCATGGCTCACTGCAGCCTTGACTACCCAGGCTCAGGTGATCCTCCCACCTCAGCCTCCTGAGTAGCTGGGACTACAGCTGTGCATCACCAGGCCTGGCTAATTTTTTGTGTTTTTATAAGAGACAGGGTTTTGCCATGTTGCCCAGGCTGGTCTTGAACTCCTTGGCCCAAGCAATCCATCTGCCTCAGCCTCCCAAAGTGCTGAGATTATAGGCATGAGCCACCGTGCCCGGTCTGTCACAGAATTTTTTGGAGTAGAATTAGGAGTAGACCCCAGGTGTCTGGACTCCAGTTTAATGTTCATTAATTTATTCATTTGGCAGATATTTATTGAACTCCTACAATGTGCCAAAAACTTCCTAGGCACAAGGAATACAGCTGTGAACAAAATGAATAAGGTCTCTGCCCTGTTAAAACTCACTCCAGTTTGGGGAGACAAAAAATAAAACATATAGTATGTCAAGTGGTAATACATTATGAGGACAAAACAGCAGGATAAACGGGTGGGATGTATTTGAATGAGGTGGTAAAGAAAGCCTCTCTGATGAGGTGACATTTGAGCAGATACTGAAGGAATGAGTTTCTAGGCAAAGGGAAGACCAGGTGCAACGGCACTGAGGCAGGGATATGTGTCTTATTTGAGGAGCACAAGGAGGTCAGGATGCTGGAACAGAGTAAGGTAAGGGGGCAAGTGGTCAGAGTCGAGGCTGAGAGATAGTTGGGTTGCAGATCAAGTACGGCTTTGTAGCCCATGGTAAGGACTTTAAATTTTATTCTGAATAAAATTGGAAGCTATGTTCTGTCTACTATACCAGTCTAGATAAAAACAAACAAACACACACACAAAAAACAAGGAAAGCACAGTGATTGCAATATTCCTTTAAATAATAAGCACCTATACATTTGTATTTTCATTTTACTAATATTTATTAAACACCATGTGCCAAACACTATGTTAAATGTTTTAAACTCATGGTTTCCTGTATAGAGAGGAGACAGAAGTAAATACAACTGTTATTTTTGTATTTATCTTCCTGTAGACCAGTGAAAGCCAACTCTTTCAGCCTTTCCCACAGATCACTTAGAAACTTTTCAGCATTTTTATTTTGGGTCATTCTCTGTTGATCAATTTTCGTTTCTCTATTTAAGCACAGAGGATTTTTGCTACAGCAATACCCAAAACTTAAAAATCACCTTCAATTGCAGCTTTGCCAGTGCTTCTATAAAACAGGTCTGTCTAAGCTGACAGAATTAAAATTATTAGTGACATTCACATTTAACGAGTCCTTGTAGGAAATCAACCTTTTGGAAGGTGCAGGGAATTTGTAAATGGTTTTCGTTATCAGTACAGAGCACTCTGTTTCCATGTATCTATTTATATAGTGTCTCCCACAGATGTGCTTACCTAGGTGTTTTGACAAGTGTGTTATTTGAGCCAGCCTTCTTCTGAGGTCAGTGGAAAGAGCTCAGAATGGGAGGGGTGACTGCTCAGGATGCCAGAGGCTGAGGGAGGATAGAAGATAACATAGTCACTTGTAGCCAGAAACTGAAGAGCTATTTAAGTGTTGGCTGCATGGATATTACATGTCCTTGGTAGGACTTTGACTCAACGAAGAGTCAAACACAGCAAGAGTTGGAATTATCA